CTTCAAGGCCTCCCGTAATCATATGTATGATTCTAGCCGGTGGTGGGAGCGGAGGTGGGGCTTGTTGATATCCCACACCTTGCCTATTTGGGGGATTGTGGACTCCTTGAGGTTGCGGCCTCTGCTCTCTGACAAACCTCGGCTGTTCAGCTCGCTGTACATACTCATTCAGCATTCCCTTCTGGGCTAAACTTTCCAGTTCGGACTTTAAGCTGTTGCACTGCTCTGTAGTATGGCCGTGATCTTGATGAAAATCACAATATCTGGTGTGGTCACGACTAGCAGCAGCAGTTCGCATTGGGCCAGGACGTCTCAAGTCCATTTTGTTCTTTATCTGCATAAAAATTTGTGACCTCGGCAGATTAAAGGGAGTCCAATTAACTGGAGGTTTACCTGCAGATTGTTGCTGGGGTGTTGAGTTCGGCCTTCCGAATCTCGGTAGGGAGGTCAACATCGGACCTCGGTTCTGTGCCATCCTCATCCTTTTCCGGCTCGGATTGTCATCTCTCCATTCTGGGTTCTGGTTCTTAGAGGGGGGTGGATTCTGCGCCAGGGTATACTCCTCAGCGGTTATAAACTTGAGAGACCGATCATTCACCTTGCTGAAGGTGGTGGCAGCATGTTTGATCAAACTGTCTCTGAATCTGTCATGCTTGAGACCAGCGATCACAGCTGCTATTCCCATGGCTTGATCAAAAGAACTAACCTCCAAAACTGCATCATTAAACCTACTCATATAGTTCTTCAGAGATTCTCCATCCCTCTGTTTAACTCTCATCAACTCAGAAGTAGTTTTCCTAATCAGCCTTCTACTGGAAAACTTAGTGGCAAAGGCAGATGCCATTTCTGTATACGAGCTAATTGATCTCGGAGGTAAACTGTAATACCAAGTTCGGGCATTACCTCGGAAAGTAGAGGGGAAGATCTTGCACATCAACGCGTCAGAGGCATTCTGGGCTTGCATGCAGGAGTAAAAAGCATGCAGGTGATCATCGGGATCCTTCGTCCCATCGTAAGTCTCCAGTTGTGGTATTTTGAAGCCAGTAGGATAGGGTTCCAGTGTGATGTTGGTATTTAGGGGATGAGGTATGGAATCAGTAGCATGGCGTGGGGGTGGGGCACCTCGGTGTTCAGCTACCAGCTTTTCTAAGCTATCAAGGCGGCGGGTAACATCATCAGGAATGGGTTGTTGAGCGGGTGCTATGTGGGATTGATCTTGAGATTCACTAACAGCGGGAGCAGGTTGAGCTGGTTGGGGATTTTGTTGTGGAGCTGGGGGTTGTTGAGCAGGGTGTAGTAAATTAATGAGGGGATCACCAGGATTGTTTCTAGCTAAAAGCTGAGCCAGCACCAACTGAAAAACACCAAACTGCTGCTGCATGGCAACGAGCTGAGCTGTCACTACATCGTGATTGGCAGTGGAAGTTGAATTGTGAGCTGAGACATGAGGTTGATTTTCATCTCCTCCTTCTGCATGATCAACAGGAGGGAACATAACTGGGACTTGAGGTGGAAGCTGAGGTGGAATTTGAGGTGGGATCAGGGATGGGAGGCTGTTGGGGGGTTGACCTTGGCCATGAGGCAGAGATGAATTACCAGCTCGGACTGATCGAGTGTGAACCATGATGAAAGAGCAACCAGAAAGCTTTCAGTTCGTTTCCCACAGACGGCGCCAATGTAATTGCACCAAACCGGAAGTCCTTCTTCAGTCCGCGCTTGCACTTCGGAATGACCTGCAAAGCCCCGAGGTGGAACTCGGGGTAGACACTC